TTATCTGCGGAGGGTTCCTGGTGGCAAAGAACTTCGTGCTGACGGCCGCTCACTGCAATGGAGAGTAAGCGCCTCTGTGCTGGGGATGTTGGGGAAGGTCGGGGATAGTGGGTGATGGGGGAGCCGGGAGCCCTGGTGCCGTCATAGGCTCCAGAGAAGGAGCTACAGGCTGAGAGAGCACAGCCCAGGGATATGATCTGGTCGGGGGTGTCAGTGTGTCTTTAGGGGCCTCTGCAAACCATGGTCCAGATCAAGCGCTGGGTAAATCAATGGAGCTACAGCCATCAACACCAGCTGGGGTCTGGCCCTTTGACCTGATCGGGGCAGGGAGATAGTCACAGCCCCAGGACAGCTCTGTTGGGCTCTGGGCTGGGAGGAGCTGGCTTAGACCCCTGTCTGGATCTAGCCGGGGGTGGGGAGGAGCTGAGACCCAGAGGGCAGGAGAACTGCGGGGCGTGAAGGAGCTCAGAGGAACAACACAAAGGGCTGGTAGAGACACAGGCTGGGACCCCAATGCCACTGGGCAAGTCTCTGTGCTGCAGCCAATGCCTCCTAGAGGGGAAAAGTCCCCTGTGCTATTTCCTGGCCCAGAAGAGCCCTGTCCTCCCCATATCACTGCTCATAAGTCAAACCCCCATGTGCCCCTCCCCTATCTCACATATGCTCCTGCCCCTAATGCCCCATGTATTGCTCTTGGCTTTCACAGTGAGATATCTGTCCAGCTGGGAGCCCATAACATTAATGAACAGGAACAGAGCCAACAGAAAATCTCCGTGCGCCACCGGATCCCCCACCCGCAGTACAACGATGCAACCACCAACAATGACATCATGCTGCTGCAGGTACCCTCCCATTCCATCACCCCACCCCCAGTGACTTCACACAGCTTCAAGTACCGCCCCTATCCCATCCTCCGATCCCCAGTGACCTCTCAGGCATGGGTTTGAGTGTTTCTGGGTATTGGGGTGTGTCTCTGTGTCCTTGAGTGCGACCCTCACATTGATCTTCATCGTTCTTGTGTCTCAGCTGGCAGAGAGA